TTCTGCAATCCTTCAGGCACGCGGCTTGAGTCTCCCAGCTGCTCTGTGAGGGAAGGATGAGCATTCTCCTCCTGTGCAATTAACTGCCTCCAAAAACCACTGAAGGGTCAGCTATGGGACAGCTCTGACTTGATGGTATACAACAACATGAGAAAAATATTGTATGATGCAGGAGGCATCAAAAGATGTTGGAGGGAATACACAGTCACTATAACAAAAAGACTTGACAGACATTCTGCGGACTTGGTGGACTACTTTACATGATAACATATGATCAGGAACTTGGAATTTTGAAGGAGAACATCTAAGCCTCATTGAAAGGACTGGTGAAAAGCAAGTCGTTGGGAATTGGTAGGAGACTGCTTGAGATGTTTTAACTAACAACTTTAGCACTAGAAGCCCTCAACCTATGTCAGGAAATTTGGAAGGCAACTACTTGGCCAACCAAATGGAATATTTTTATACCCATCCAAAGGGAGGTGATCTAACAGAATGTGACAATTATCAAACAGTATCAGTAGCACATGCAAGTAAAACCTTGCTAAAAAATAATTCCAAAACAGTAGTATGCCAGAGAACTGCCAGATAAGCAGAATGGATTCAAAAGTTGTTGTTGTTGTTTTTGTTGTTATGGACTGTTGAATCATAGCTGACCCTCCAGCAAGGTTTTAGAGGCAATGGATTGTACAGGAAGAGATTGCCTATCTTTCTCCCTCAGAGCAGCTGGTGATTTCAAACCACGTGCCTAAGGATTGACAGCACAACCCCTTGCCAGTCAGCCACCAGAGGTCCCTACTATACATCTAGTAAAAGGCAAATTACCATTCTTCACTCTTCCCTAAGCAAGTCCCTAGAAAAGAGACAAGTAAACTTTAAATGCAATAGTTAGAGTTTTCAGGTTTATAATTGTAATAGGATTCAGAAGATGATGAGAAATAAGGAATACTGTTGCTGATATCAGATGGGCATTGGCTGACAAAAGAAATACCAGAAAGATGCTTGCCTGTTTTTCATTGATTATACCAAGACATGTGACTATGTGGCTCCATAACAAATTATTGATAACATGAAGAATAAAAATTCCAAAACAGTTAATTAGGCTCATGTAGAACTTGTACATTAGACCAAGAAGACACAGTTGTTCGGACAGAATAGGCGTATCTTGTGTGTGTTTTACAATCAGAAAAGGTATGCATCATAGTTTTACCATGCCTTTCAATATGTATGCTGAGAAAATAATTTGATAATCTGAATGCTATGAAGAAGAATGTGGCATTAGGGTTAAAGGAAGACTCATTAGACAAACAGTCTGCAGTGTGCAGATGGCACACCTTGCTTTCTGAGAGAGAAGAGAATCTGAAGCACTTACTGATAAAGACCTGAGACTATAGCACCTCAATGTAAAACAAAAATCCTCGCTCCTGGGCCAGTAAACCCTATCACCATGATCAATGGGGAAGACTGAGGGTGTTTTGTCTGGACCGCAATCAGTGTGCATGGAAGCAGCAGTTAAGAAATCAAATGACATATGACATTGGTCAGATTTGCTACAACTAACATCTTTAAAGTATTGAAAATCAAAGACACCACTTTGAGGATTAAGTTACACCTGACCCAGTATTTTCAACCACCTCATACACATGTAAAACTGAATAATTAATAAAGGGGACTGAAAACAAAATTATTGCTTTGCATCATGGTATTGGTGGAGAATATTGAATGTACCACACGAGAATAATGAACAGAAGAAATAAAGCCAAACGTTCCTTAAAAGTGAGGGTGGTGGGATTTTTGTCTTGTACTTTGTTATCAAGCATGAGATCATGTTTGGCCAAACAGTGGTTCAGTGAAAAAGAAGATGACCCTCAAGGAGCTGCATTGACATGGTGGCTGCAACAAAGGATTCCAAACAGAAGCTCTTGTAGAGATAGCATCAGGTCCCACAGTGTTTTGTTCTGTCATCTACAAGGTCCTTATCAGTTGGAGTCAATTCAGTGGTGCCTAAACACACATACACCCATAGTGCTTCCTGAAGGCAAAGATGATGAGACTTAGTCTAACATACCTTAGGCATGTTATCAAAAGAGACCAGTCCCAGGAGAAGGACATCATGCTTGTTAAAGTAGAGAGCAGAAAAGTGGAAGATCCAGTATATGCGTGTCAATGTGTAGTTTTCACAGGAAGGGTCACTACTCACAGCAGCACTGCGAAGAAGCTCTTGACCAAGAAAAGGCTCAAAGCCGGTTATACTGAGTAAAGCCCAAGGCCCCCAGGTCAGACCTGCTGTAGCCTTTGGGCAGGTCTGCTTATGCATCTGAGCTGGACAATGAATAAGGATAAAAAAGGAAGAATCGATGCCTTTGTGTTGTGATGCTGGAAGAAAGTACTGAAAATCCCATGGGCTGTAAAAAAGAACAAATGGATGTGTCTTGGAGAATGTGAAACCACAGTGCTCCTCCGAGATAAGGATGGCACAGCTCCATCTGACATACTGTGGGCATGATGTTAGGATGAAAGGGACATCACACTTGGAAAGATGGCAGACCAGCAAAAGAGAGGAAGACCCTCAGTGAAATGGATTGACACAGTGACTGCAGCAATGTATGTAAGAGATAATGCAGCTGGCACAGGATAGGACAGGGTTCAGATCTGTTGTTCATAGGGTCACTGTGAGTTGTACTGAGCAGCACATAACAACAACAAGATGGATCAGTAGAATGACTGCAACAATGAACTTGACCAAGGTGGAGAGAGTCAACGATGGCACGAGATAGGGCAAGGTTTCGATCTGTTACTCATAGGGTGGCTGTGAGTGGCAGTCGACTTGACGGTACCTAATGGCAACTGCTCTTTTTCTTCGTCCTGTGACCATCAGCAGACTGGGGCTGGGAGGGCAGAGGGAAGAGGAAGATCCTCAATGCTAAGTGACAGATTGTCACAGTGTCTGCAACAGTGGGCTCAACTCTCACGGTCATGGTGGTGCTAGAGCAGGCAGTTTTTTGTTCTGATCATGGGGGTTTGCTTGTTCTTTGAGTTGAAATCAATTCAATAGCATCTAGCAGCAACAATTATTTATGTGTGTTCTCTGTTGTCATGTCCCATCAAGTCAGAATCAACTCATAGCTGACCTTCCAGCATGTTTTTAGAGGCAGTAAATCACATGGGAGGAGATGGCCCACCTTTCCCCCCATGGAACAACTAGTTGATTCTAAGCACTTACCTTCCAGTTGAACAGTTCCACTCCCCATCTCACTAGGGGTTAGAGGAGAGAATAATAGGCATCCGTAGAGTGTGTCCTGATGGCGCAGAGTTTCAGCACTTGATTGCTAACTGAAAGATCAGGAGTTCAAACCCACAAGGCACTTGGCTCCCATAAAGCCTTGGAAACTCTCTGGGCCAGTCCTGCTGCCTCACAGTCACTGTTAGTCAAAACACATTTGACAGAAATGCGATATGTATTTTTCTTTTAAAAAAAAACACGTAAAAGGCTAAGATCATTCTGTTACTGCTACTTGCTTCTCTAGCCTCATACAAACCTATCATCCTTTCTCTGCCCCCTGGACAGTGATGACTACAAAGGTGTGACCTTATGGTTTTGCCTCGGACTTTTCCTGAGGAAGAAGCACTCAAATCTACATGGATGTATGGTTACAGTAGATGGTAGAGTTGCTGGAAAGCTCAATTTTAAGGTGTCCCACTAAGCCTGATCTCGTCTAGAATATCAGATTGGCATAAAGAACACAAGCAAATGATATTTAAAAGCCCTTGCTATGAGCCAGCATACTAGTTGCCCAGGGTGGAGCATGTAATTATGTTGTGTAATATTTGCTGCTTTTTTCCTTTCTTTCTTGGGAATTTGAGCATTGTGAGTGATGTGGTTTTATTTATTGTTTTTTATAGCTACTTTTAGAACATCATGTGTTCTTCTAAGCCGATGTAAAGAAAGCATGATAACATTTTTGTTTTAGTTAAAATGTACTACGTGCTAAGGGAGCTCTGGTAGCCTAATGGGGAGGAGTGGCGCTGCCAGCCCAAAGGCATGTGATTCAAATCCACCAGCTGCTTCAAGGGAGAAAGGTGAACAGTCTCTCCCGGGCAATTTACAGCTTCTGAAAACCCACTGGATCAGCTTTGAATAGGTTCTAACTGGATGGTACTCAGTATCAGCAACATCATAGGTGTTTGTATTTTTTCCTTTCATTTTCTATTTATAGGTTAAATAGGAATTTGTGGTAGAACTTTGACCTGCTATAGTTTAATTAGGCCAAAGGTTAGCATTTTTTCAATTTCCAGACAGTTGGGTTGAATGCTGGTGCTTTTAGCGAAAACTCTGGTGGCCAAGTGAGAAGAGGCTGCATTGCCCATCCAAAGGCACGTGTTTCGAACTCACCAGCTACTCTGCAGGAGAAAGATGAGCATTCTCCTCCTGTGCAGTTTACTGCTTCTGACAACCCACTGGAGAGTCAGCTATGGGTTGGTCCCAACTCAATAGTACACAACAACGTAATAGTCGTTGTGGTCAGGGATTTTTTTGCCCTTAATAAATATCATTAGAGGTGAATTTTATTCGTTTTATCCTGTGGTCCAGTTCCAGACAAATGTTGTGTTTATGAAACTAGGTCAGGTAGATTCACAGTCCAGTTCTGTCAAATGCCCCTAGGAAATCTAGTCATTCTAATCTATGCTTGAAATTGATCACATGAGGTATTTAGGTCACCAACCAACTCTCTTCAGTTCATTATAGATATGTATGAATTAACATTAAATAGTTCAGTCTTATCACCTATAGAATCAAGGATGATCTATGATCATCCATTTTATTCTATTTCATGACATGAAACAGGCTTGTAGGACCAAAGTTTAAAATCTAGATGAGCATATATTCTTCCTGCACTGTGGAATGTCTATCCAAGAAGGCCCAGCCTTGAGTTTGTAAGACTTTTCTCACTCTATTTGCTGTTGTGTTTTTGTTTGTTTGTTTGTTTGTTCATTTGTTTTAGGCTACAACTGAGGTGGAAATTAAAAAGAAAGGTCCTGGATCCCTCTTAGTATCCATGGAGCAGCTGGCTTCCTATGGGCGAAAGGACAGAATCAACAGCATCATGAGTGTTGTGACGAATACACTGGTAGAAGGTACGTGTCCTGTGATGTCAGGTCAACATTCTGAGGTATCAATATTTGGTGCATGGTAAATATAATAGCCATTAGTTAGCATTTTACAAAGATGTCTCTGAGCTTTGAGCATAGTGCCAACTGGCTATAGAAACCAGCATCCCAAACTGTGTACCACAATCTACATGCAGAAGGCCAGAAAAGGATTTCCAAGCTGCTGCCAGGATTATACACAAGTAGGTAGAATCTGAGAAGAGCGATCTAGAATGATCTCAAGAGGCATAAAGAGAGATCAACAAAAGAGCTACAAACACACAGAACAGTGGAAACTCCCTCGAGCCCTCTACCCCAGCACATACCCACTTCTTTTTCTTTTTGAATGTTTACAGCCTTTTTGGTTTTCCTTTAAGGGAGAATGTACTGTGAGTCTTGATTGCACCTAATTCTGCCTCTCTTCAAACACCCCCACATATCCATAAATATATTTGATGTGTGAATAGGTAAGCTAAAACGCCTCATGCTTCGGGTGCTTTATGCCACAGAATCAGAGCATGTCTGCGGTAATGTTGCTCTCAGTGCCTGAGTTTTCTACATGCAGTGGTTCCTCCACGACACGGCCTGGCACTGCTGGACAACACCCTAGGAGTTTCCATTATCCCCCTGTCCACACAGCAAGTAGTAGTGAAGCCTCCTAGCCAACTATAGTCTCAATTCCAGGATTGAATTGCTGTCTTTGTAGGTGAATTCAATGATTAGGTTTTCTTTGACAAGGTTCTGATTGGCTCTACATGAATTTTGTGTATTTGATTCATGTCAGTCTATCTTCTGAGTTGTCCTCTTGTAGATCCCGACTATTCTTGCCTCAGATTGCTCTTGTCCAGAGTCTAACACTAACATACACACTAATGTGACTGTAGCGGGTCTCTGAAGTTGAGACTCAAAATTATCCTGGTGTCCAGAAGACAAGTATTTTGTTGTTTTTATTTGAGGTTTTGGGGCGGGGGGGGGGGGGTTCCTGGTTTGGTTTTGTCTAATCATTTAAACCCAAACACCAGTTCTTCTCTCTTCCTTTCTCAATCTCTGCCCTCTCCTTCTCCTTTCCTCTCTGTCTCTAACCTTCAGAGAGTGTGTGTGTGTGTGTGTGTGTGTGTGTGTGTGTGTGTGTGTGTGCGCGCGTGCGCGCGCACGCAGGTGTTGGAGGCAAAGAGGGTTAAGTAGAAGGAGAATCCCTAGGACAGAGATCCGCTTAGGTGGTTACATCTCCAAATATATACAAGAGTTAAAGAGTTAGACCATAACCGAATTAATCTTGAGAAGGTGTCAAATGCAAATTAACTACATTGAGCTGCCTGACCAGCCTTTATTTACTCTTGTTTTCTTTAACTTCCATTGCAGTCTTATTGAACACATTTATAGTTTTTTAGCTTTGAGCTTACAAGCAAATAATAGCTGATTGTAAGAATCCAAACTAAGTAACAGTGGCTTAAGGACTATTACTAATTTTACTATTCACTTGGAGAGACCATGACAGGATTTCCTTGAGTATCTGTTGCAGTGGAAGAAGAAAAATAAATCATCAAGAACTGTGATCAGCCAAATAGTCGACAATGACCCTGAAATAAAGATGAGAGGGTTAAGAGGACAGAGGAACCAGATTACTGGAAGCAGAACATCCAGAAGGAATGTAATGATAGTGTTAGCAGCACTCAGAAAAATTTAACCACTGTCTCTGAACAATTTATGGAGTAACTATTAGATGGGAACCTGATTTGATATATAAACTTTCATCCAAAGGACAATAAGAATTTTTTAAAAAGACTCTTGATCAAAAGGATCATATTAAAGAACAGAATTTCAAAATAGCAGAGGATCTAATTTTTTTTGAGCCACGGAGACTGAATAAATGCCTGGAATTATTTCCCCAAGATCACGTTTTTAATGTGAACATTTTTGTGTTATTTTAGTGAGACTAAAGGGCATTCTGGTGGTTTAGTGGTAAGAAGCTGCACTGCCAACTCAAAGACTTACTGTTCGCATCTACCAGCTTCTCCACAAGGGAGAAAGATGAGCGCTCTCCTGCGCCCGTGAAAACATGCTGGAGGGTCAGTTCTGACTAGCCAGTGCCTAACAACAACAATAAATGACAGTTAGGAGTAAAAAACTGTTTATGAGTGTTTATTAGGTTTATTTCTGACCCCCATGCCCTAAGCACAATTTTTCTCCCCACCAGGAATTTTAGGAACCTTATCTTCTCCAATTTCAAGATCATCTTTAGACCTTAAGCCAAAAATGTCCCCTGAGACAAATAAAACCAGACTTTTAAAACAAACAAACAAAAAGCTTAACTAGTAAAGATAATGCCTTGAGTATTGTGCCCTTTAAGATCAATCTATATAGGATCAAATTTACAAAAGCAACTAGAATATTACACAGGCATCCTAGAGGGCAGTGAGTTGATTCTAATGAGAGAGAAAGAATTCAGAAAAGAGAACGAGAATTACACAACACAAAGAACAGAATCATTGTCACTGGACTATACATGTAGAAATTGTATGTTTTACTGTATACTCAACAACCACAAAAAAATTAAAATAAAAAAAAATAATCTCTACCACATCATGTAATTGACAGAGAGATATTAGAACAGGAAAACTATGAATATGATGTGATAATTATTGCAGCTTCTCATAGTGACCTAGCACAAGGTCTGGCAGAAGTGGATGCTCCAAAAATATTCCTCAAGCTGCTTTTCCATGGCCGGGGTGGGGAGGACCGTCCACATTGCAGCTTTCCATCTGGAGGCCTTAGCTCTTCCAGCCCTCCAGTGTACATTCATTTTGTCAGTAATTTTTTTAAATTTTCTTTCTCTTCTCTACGTTGTCTTTTTGTCTTTGTTGTACTCTACTCACTCTCTACCCACCAGCACATACATTTTAACAAGCAAATACGCAAGACAGCCCAGGGGAGAGAGACAGCTGTGGTTAAGTTTGTGAGTGGGATGGCTCTCCCATTTCTTCCTCTCCTTTTCTAAGCTCTCATGTTCTTGTAACTTATACATTTCTTACTAATTCTTGCTCAGATAGCTGTCCCTTCTTCTCCTACTAGTATCCTTTGTTAAAGCTGATAGGACAGGACTGCTATAAGCAAAGGACGATGAATGGCAGGTGCTAAATAATGTAGGAGAGAATTGAAAGACATTAAGAAAGATTGATTCCTATTTAACCATTGCTTGGTCTGTATTTAATGTTTGCTACACTGATTGAATAGTCATTTCTGCTTCTCACATTTTCACTTGGGAAACTGACATTGTTTAATTTTCTCCAAAAATTAAAATAGTTTTATTATTTCTGATCAAAGATGTAAGCTCCTACCTACTTAATGGTTTGGAAACTATAAAGGAGAATTCTAAAACCCTGCAAAAAATTTAAAAATTGTGCCTACTCTGACGCCTATCCTGTTGCAAGCATGCTTAACCAGGATCCAATGAACTCAGCAGAATTCACAGTTGGCTACCAGCTTTGGAGGTTTAAAAGAGGGCTAGAATTAGATGCAGACAAAGAGTTATGTAGTCTCGTTTCTCAAAACCATAAACCATTAAACTATGGCAAAGGGGGAAAGAATTGATGAAATGAAGAAGTAATGATGTTGTTGTTGTTGTTATGTGCCGTCGAGTCGCCTGCGACTCATAGCGACCCACAACAGCCCTAAACTCCGCTCTGTCCTGTGCCAATCGCACTGTCTCTGACACTCCCATCCCAATTATCCCAGTCACTGAATCAATCCACCTCATAGAGGGCCTTCCCCTCCTGCACTGTCCCTCCACCCTCCCAAGCATGATGTCCCTCTCCAAGGACCGGTCTCTCCTCGCAACATGTCCAAAGTATGTTAGACGGAGCCTCAGAATCCTTGCCTCCAAGGAGCCACCCGGTTTAACCCTCTCCAGGACAAATCTGTTTGTTTTCCTGGCAGTCCATGGTATTCTCAATACTCTTCTCCAGCACCACAGCTCAAAGGCATCAGTTCTCCTTCTATCCTCCTTGGTCATTGTCCAACTCTCTGATGCATAACAGGTGATTGCGAAGACCATAGCCTGTATCAGACGCACCTTAGTCTCCAAAGAGATACCATTACTCTTCAGCACTTTGGAGAGGTCCCTAACAGCAGACTTTCCCATGGCAATGCGCCTTTTAATTTCCTGGCTACTGGTGCCAAGACTGTTGACTATGGAGCCAAGCAAACTAAAGCTGTGTACAATCTCAATCTCTTCACCATCCATCCTGATGCTGCCAATTGGTCCAGTGGTGAGAATCTTTGTTTTCTTGACATTGAGCCTCAATCCATATTGTAGACTGCAGTGATAGGATTTCATATTATCTATTCTTCTTGTTGTTGTTATGTGCCATGGAGTAAGAACGAACTAATCTCTGACTTCCAGTTTTCAGAGACAGTAAATCAAATGAGAGGAGACTGCCCATTTTTCTCTCCACGGAGCTACTGGTTGACTCAAACCATGTGCCTGTGGCTTGGCAGTGCAGCTCCTTACCACTAAGCCACTAGAAGGCCTTTATAGATGTTTAAGTAAAGTGTTTTCCAAAAGCCCCCTATAAAGAAAAGACAATACACAATAAAAGACTGATTGGACATTGTAATATTTACCCTAATGTTATAAAACAAAATGTCTATGAGTATATATAAGGAAAATCCAATATGATCTTTAAACCTTTACTGAAATTTTTCTTACAAGTCCCTTATAGTGTCTGTTACAGAAGGTAGAAAAAAATTTATAATGGTGATGGTCATACAACGTAGTTAATATCATTAATTTCACAGAATTATACATGAGGAAACAGCTAAAATTGCAAATGTTTTGTTGCATATGTTTTACTATAGTTCTAAACAAAAGAAAACAGAACTTGCCTTTAGAGATAACTGTCCTTGCTGTTCCTACCATTTTTTATTTCTCTTTCATTCAACTAACAAACATAAGATGTTTGTATAATAGCTTAGATGTCTCATTTCCATACATTACCCACCCCTCAACCACTCCAGATATGCAGGTCTAGAAAAAGTGTACAAGGTTTTGAGTCCCATTATTAACCTCCTTCTTCACCCATTGGGTCTTTTCCAACTACAACCACAGATCCTCTTACTTTTAGGGAAACGGGGTTATCATGAAGGTCTTCCCTCTTCAGTAACTGTGGGTATGCAGAAGCTCTGCTATCCCTGTACGGATGGTCCTGATGCCCTGGAGGCAGGGAGAACCCCTTCCTGCCTGGCAAAGCCCTGTTCTTTGTAAAATAGGACAGTTGTGTCACTGTCAGAAATGTGAACAGTCCCTGCTTTGACCTCCACGTGCCAGCAAACAGCAGACATTTGGAGAAAGGAGGAGATTAAAAAGGGAACGGAACCAGATTTCCAAATATGTATTATAAGAATTTATGGAAATAAGAGAACCTTTTCCATTTTCTTTTTTGGGGAAGAAACCTAAATTTACCTTGGGAGGGAGGGAGTTCTATGAGGAAGAAGCCAAAGCAAAATTTCTTCACAGACTTCCTTTCCCACGCAGACTCCCACATGGCGCTTACTTGTGGCCCGTAAATCTGAAAAACCAAGGCAACCATTTTCTTAGCAACCAGGGAGCCAATCACAAACCATAACCAAAGCCACCCATCTAAAATAAAGCCATCACCATGGGCACCGTCCAGCTGCTTGGAAAGGGGAAAGCCGACTCATTTAAGGCAGCCATCTTGTTCTTGGGGAAATGTTGGGAAACTTTTTATTCTCTAAATGACTTGATTTTTATCAGTAGAATTGTGTTGGGGAAGGAACAACTAACCATGTAGAACCTATACCTTACTTCTAAGGATTATCATTCTGACAGGTTCTCAAAGTTACACCTTTAAAAGAGCATCCTCTTAGTTCACAGTTCTTGGAATTTGGTAATCCTAGCTATTACATTTCATCCTTAATTTGAGAAATGCTTTCTTGGCTTGGGCCGCAGGCCTACGACATCGTTGTAACTGTCAACTAAATGGCTCCCACTTTTAATGCTGATCATATTTTTTTATCTGCTTTGTAATTGCCTTAGAGATCATCTAGTCCAGCGATATTTTTTATGTATTTATTTATTTATTTTTAGTCTCTGGTTTTCAGAGTTGAAGGTTATGGGGATCTACCTCAGGGAAGGAAGAAGTTAATGGGTCAAGGCTTGAGCTCTTCTTGATTTATCTGATTTACATATTGATATTTGGAGGGGGCGGGTCAGATCTTATTTGAATATGTCAGATGTTTGAAGAAAGGGAGGAAGAAATATTGGCTGCTAAAAGAAAGAGAAGAGGAAAAAGGAGAGAGGGGGAAAGGCAGAAAGCAAGCAACGGGAAGAAAAAATAAGGCCCTAGCGGGAGATAGAAAGGCAGAGCAAGAAGAGGAAAGATGGGGAATGGTGGGTGTGACAATGTATGGGTATGACTGTGTGAAACACAATGTGAATGAAGCAAAGGGAGAAACACAATGTATACAACGTTTGTATGCAAACCAATATAAAATAAAAATTTTTTTTAAAAAGTCCATGGAGCATTCTGCTACTGACCTAAAGAGGAAAATAAAAAAGAATAGGAAAATGCAAAAGGGTAAGAGAGAACAGATAAAAAAAGAGAAAGACGCATGTGACTTATATTCCTAATTAAATAATGGTCTCACTGAAGATGAGGACAGGGACGTGTACTTCATGAGAACATAATAGATGTATTCTTCCTGGTAGCTAGTTGACAAAGCTGATTCTGCTTCTGCTGCTTTTAATGTTCGTGTATCCTGTGGTACTTCACACACACAAGGACACATGCACACTTAGCTCACTAATTCTCACAACAAAGTCACTTGCTCAGCGTCCCACAGTAAATGTCAGAACTGGTGTTGAGCCTTGTTATTTCTAGGTTTAGGATCCATGCTTTTGACTGCTTCACTGACTGTGTGCTGGTGCATTATAGCCGTCAACTCATTTATCATCCTGTTACAGTGGCCCTTCTTATAGGTGAGGCTACACAGAGAAGTCACGTACATCACGTGAGCTCACATGAAGTCTAAGCACTGAAACCAGTTACACAAGGGAGCCCAAGCTCCTCACCAGGATGCTTCCCACCCTCCTAAAACTGATGGATTGGATTTTATTGGTCACTAGAAAGAGACCACCGACAAGCTGGATTGACAGTGATTGTAATAATGGACTCAAGCATATCAGATATTGTGAGGATGGCACAGGATAAGGCAGGTTTCTGTATGTTGTTCAGAGGGTTTCTGTGAGCTAAAGCCGAGTCATGGGCACCTAAAAACAACAGATCATTATGAATAGGGAAAGGACTGTGTATTAAACATGCCTCCTCTCTACCCTAAGAAAAAAGAAAATGAATAGAGACGCTTCGGAATGTCAGCACTCTAGCAACCTTGAGTTTTCATTATGAGGTCTTAATATGTTCTTAATATTAATATGTAATTCATATGCTTGAGAGACCATCTTTGTTCTTTACCTACCACAGAATTGGAAGAGTCTCAGAGGAAGTGCCCACCCTGTTGGTATAAATTTGCTAACACTTTCCTCATCTGGGAGTGTCATCCGTACTGGATAAAACTGAAAGAGATTGTGAACTTGATAGTCATGGACCCTTTTGTGGACTTAGCCATCACCATCTGCATTGTCCTGAACACACTGTTTATGGCAATGGAGCACCATCCGATGACACCACAATTTGAGCATGTCTTGACTGTCGGAAATCTGGTAAGCTGAAGCAGTCTCTCCTCATTATTTGAAAGCTCTAGGTCTGTAGGACCTCTTTTTTTCTAGTACTGAAAGCTGGAAGTTAGTAGAAAAGAAAGTGCTAGTAATTGGGAAAACAAACGCATCCACATATGCCGTGGCCCCGGCCACTGCTGCTCGCTGTGTGCTCCCTGGGCCCTTCCCTCTCTCTGCAGAACTTTGAAGACGTCATGTAGGAACGATTGGCAGAAAACCAGCCATGGTGACAGAACGGGAGGCATGGCACAGGGGGTTGGTTGCGGCACCCCAGCAAATCACTTCCCCTTTCACCTTCAGTAACAGCCACCTCAAAACAGGGGAGCTCTTTTAGTGCATTAATGTAACCATACATTTTCCTGCACTGTCAGATCATTATCCACATGGGAACTATTTCTGGGAAATTTTTAATTTTTAATTCTAGGCTCTGTCCCCCTCCGATCCAACTTCTGGGCTGACATCCAGTTTCTGCCGTCAGTTGATCTGTGCCAGATTTATTTTGCTGTTAGCTTATGTCATATATTTAATTTATTATATTATTTAGAAGCTAAAATGTTTTTTTAAAAAATCGATTATGCTGTATATGCTGGAGTCAAACAGTTGTGATTCCAGGATTAGCTGTCTTCCTTCCTTTATACAGAAATCAGGTGTTAAGTTTTTATAAACAGTGAAGAGTTAGTTGGGAAGAGTGTTCTAGGTTATCTGGATCCTCTTTATATCTACACATTGTAGTTGTTGTGTGATGTCAAGTCAGAACCAGCTCATAACTGATCTTCCAGTGAGTTTTCAGAGGCTGGAAATAACACAGGAGGAGATTAGCCATCTCTCTCCCTCAGAGCAGCTTGGAGGCTTGGCAGCTCAACTCTCTACCACTTGGTCCCCAGAGCTCCTGTAATACTATTTAATTTGAGCGTCATCTTTCCCCAGTATTTGTGTGTGTGTGTGTGTGTAACACAATACACAGCCCCACATCATATGTCACTTACATAATTTTTAGTTCTGATACTGAAAGCACACATAGTAAAAAGGATCTTGTATCAGTCTAGACCTTGTGGCCTATTATGCTCCCTGGTGTACATTTACAGTGATGGTGTGGACTTTTCAGCATCTGTGTCTAGGATGGGCAGCATGCTCCAGGCTCAGTGCTGTAGTATATATAAATCCTGTAAGCAGCCCGATGGGAGCTTGTAATCCTGAAACTAGACCTCCCGTAGGGGGTCTGGTGTAGCCTGGCCACCCTGTGCCTGGGCAGACATACACAACATGTATGGCCCATGAAAGAGAATTTTGAGCCAGTCACACAGTGTCACACAGCTAGGAGCTTTATTTTGCTAACCACTGATTAAGTATGAGAAACGTAACTTTTATTGATAGTGATTTTGCTATTGTTGTTTTCCCCTGTTATTTTTTTTCCTCAAAGTCTTTGTATTTCCTTGCTTTTTACAGAATCAGTCCTTGATTTCCAAGAGATTTTGAGAGGCCTTTTCACCTACCATCAGCAGAACGTACTAAGACCTTGTACTAAGACCAGGCCAGCAAATAATTTTTTCTTTTCATTTCTTAACATCTACAGAGATAAAGAGTCCCACCAAAATCAGAGTTGTAGGCATTCAGAAGACTTTGCTCAGAACCATTAGTGAAGGGAGAGTTAGGCAGCTCACAGTGAGGAACTCTGAAGCACTCTGGGGGCAAGCAAGCATTTTCTATGAGGAAGTACAGTTAGCATTGAAGGTGCAGAGAAGTGAGTGCTTCAGGAAACTATGGACTAGCCAGGGGATTGGATGTGGGGATGAGGGAAAATAAATCAAGAGTAGCTTAGGTCTGAGGATGTAGTAACTGAGTGGAAAAGGCGTACTACTACAGAAGGAGCAGGTTTGGAGTTTCAAATCAAGAGTCCTGTTTTGGATGCATTATCTGTGAGAGACACCTATTCAGTGAGTGGAAATGCCACATCACGGAGTTGATATTTGCTGGACCTTAGCCAAACTTATCTTTTGAGTGTTTTGTGGACAAGGACTCAAAGACATATCTCACTGCCAGTGAGCACAAGTTTTGAGTTTGGCAGAAAGAGACACAGATCTGAAAGTCAGAAGATTTGAGCTATTGGTTCAAAGAAAATAGAAATATTAGATTTAGGCTAACTTTAGATAAGTCATTCATTTCTGTCCAGAAATGTTTCCCATCTAACAAATGAAGACTATACTCTGGTGTTGGTGATTGGGAGGATGTAAGATGTGAACCCATACCAAAGTTTGTAGAATAGTTCAAAGTACTTATAGAGTATAGGCACTATATGAGTATAATGCAGTCAGAGAATTTTCACAGGCTTGGAGATATATGGAGAACTTTTGATGAAGCCTAAGAGTAAAATTATGGAGGAAAGGGAGAGGTACTAATTTACAAAACATAGAGTACAACTTTATTTGAACTGGGAAGTTTCTTCCACAGCCACACCAGTGAATTAAATGTCTGTAAGACATGCAGCTGGGACAATGATGTGCCAAACGTGGTAATGGTTACCCATGGTGGACAGTGTTTGCTGGAGCTTCCCCACTAAACCAAGCCTGGAAGCAGGAGCGTCATCCACTTCCAAAATGGCTTGCCTCAGGAAACTCTATGTATGAACAGTGCTCAGGCCTTTCATTCATAGGGTCACCATGAGTCGTCTATGACTCAACAGTACCTAACGACAACAACAAGAAAACGTGCAGAGGAGTCTGGGTGGTGCAAGCAGTTTGTAATTGACTCTTAACATGAAAGACTGGCAGTCCAAATGCCCCCAGCAACTCCCCTGAGAAAGGCCTGATGAACTGCTCCCATAAAGATCACAGCCAGGAAAAGCCTGTGTTCACGTGGAGTCAGCGTTAGTCATGGGCTGGCTCGAGGGCGGCTGACAACAACGTGGGACATGCAGATGCTTTGTAAGAAAGTTGAAAGCAATTGTTTATAAGCTGAAGATCCTCACAACTTCTACTTTCCCTGCAAAAGAGAGTGCCGATAATAAGAGGACCTATGAACCTCCCTTGATTCCATTTAATTGTTTTAGAAAACTATGTGACTTTTACAATTTTCATAGTACCTACAAGAGGAATGAAATGATTCTTTTTCTTACTTTTTTGCCATTAGTTGAACACAATAGTGAGTTTACACTGAATACTTTTTTTAAAAGCCATCTAGATCTCCTAAAGAAATTTCAAGTACAATATAAAAAAAAACCATTTTTTTAGAGTAAGTTGCCAGCATAACCCATGATTCCCAAATACCTTATTTTGTGTGTGCTCGCTTTTTTGTTTACAAACAAATGTGTTTTTCTTTAAAACTACCTAAGTATCAAGAAATTCACTTTGGTACCTAACAGCCATCTAATTCTTCAGTAAAATCTACTCAGTATCATAGCTTTAAGAAGATACTACATATGGCAAACTGGTAGACAGGTGATGGGGCAAAATAATTTGATTCTAGAATTGCCAATTGTACTTGATCGCATCACTCCTTAACTATGAGCTAATCTTACTCTGTCTGGAAGAGTTCCTCAGTCTTTCCTTGACATCCATGACCTTGATGCTTTTGAGTGTGTTACATAGAATGCCCCTCCTCTTGGGTTTATTATGTATCTCTCCATGATTGGTTAGGTATCTTTGGAAGTCAAGTGAAGCTGTTTCTTCTCATTGCATCTACCAAGTTTTTCCTGCCCCCCACCTCAATCAACCATTTCTCACAGAACTCTGATTCTTATAGTAAACAGTTAATGGTGTTTTAAAATCAAGATTTGGGCTCAGGATATGCATATTGCTATGAGTGGCATCCACTTCCTAAATAACATGCCTGTGGAAACTCTATGAACTTTGATAAATGTTGATAGTTGTAGAGGGGCCTCAGGCCTTTTGTTCATAGTGTCGCTATGAGTTGTGCTCGACTTGAAGGCAATCAACAACAACGTGCAACACTGAGATATCACTGCTCCCAGACTTGCTTGGTAGAGCACTAGTTGTATCCACTGAGCTATATAGCTGTAGTTTTTCATGTCTCAAGTGTATAACTCGTAGAGTTTTACCAAACCCATTGCCATCAAGCCAGTTCCCACTTACAGCAACCGTATAGGACAGAGTAGAATTGCTCCATACAATTTCTTTATGGAAGCAGACTGCCTTGTCATCTCCCCTGGAGTGAATGCTGGGTTCAGACTGACAACCTTGTGGTTATCAACCAAGTTATTAACCACTGTGCTACGAGGGCTCCTATGTAGAGCTTTCCCAAATATTTTCATTATAGAAGGACTGAATATTCTCTTTCTGAAAATAAAGATCAAGCTCAAACTCATTGCCATCAAATCAGAACTGACTCCTAGTTGATGCTCCAGTGGGTTTCTGAGGATATAAATTGCCCCAGAGGAGACTGCGCATTTCCCCACTTTGGGTTAGCAGCACAACTCCCCACTGACTGTACCAACAGAGCTAAAGATAGGAACATGAAAAACCCCGGTCACCCCGAATGAGGCTGAGCCTTGTCTACAAATACAATTATGACAGAAGGATGTATGCCTCTTCTCCTCCACCCTTCCTGTGCCCCAGTGAAGTGCCCTCATTTTCACCTTTACTTGGTGACGTAGTGCGTACAAGTTGTTAGTCCTGTGCCCAGGGGCTGGTGTAGCTGAAACAGGTCAGCCAGCTTTGAGTTCCTGGCATCCATTAGAACAGTAGTTCAATCATCAAACGTTTTAGGCCTTTGAACCCCTTTACACTCTGACAAAGAGCTTGGTTAAACGTGGGTTATACATGTTGGTATTTACCATATTTGAAATTTAGACAGAAAATTTTTAGTACTTAATTATTGATTAAAAATAATAGTAATTCTCATTACATGCCAAACACAGAGAATCAATGCAATCTGTAACAAGTCATAAACATATCACCAAGCAAATATAAATAAATAACACATATTGACTTTTGGCTTATACTGATGGAAACAATTACATTGATTAAGGA